AATACTAATTAAATTATTATAACTGTAATAACAAACAATTAATTTTGTTGAACTCCTGACATGAATTTACCATAACAAGCAGTTTTGCACAGATTCAATATTTTTATTAAGTCTCCCAAACGAAGTTTGGGAAGACTTATTGTTTTTGCTCAGTTCTTATTATTATTATTATTCTTCTTCTTCTTCTTCTTCTTCTTCTTCTTCTTCTTCCGCCGCTTTTAAATTTGAACTTGTCCGCACCCGTTCTCCAAAACCGCTTGTCAGATTAACTTAGGGTTTCACAATATGTTAGACTAACATGTCTAGTGGTGCAATCAGGGTTTTGTTTGTGCAATGGGGTTTATAAAGGGGTACTTTGAGGGGCAAAAAGAAAAGAGGGTTTTACTATAGAACCCTATGGGATTTTATTTTTAAAAATTTTCAAATGATTATAAATTGAAAACCGTTTGTGATGGACACAATCTTTTTAATTGAAAATGTTCTAAATGATAAAGCCCATTAAATGAAATACAGGGTTAGTCCCCAGGGGTCACCCCCACCCCCTGCCATTTAAGAAAGTTCTAATACCTTGTAAGTGGTCAAGATCCCCACCCCTAAACCATATATATTCTGGTTTGTCATGCTAAGATGGTTTGAATGATATACAGGGTTAGTCCCCAGGGGTCATCCCGACCCCCTGCCATTTGAGAAAGTTCTAATATCTTGTTAATGGTCGAGATTCCCACCCCTAAACCATATATATTCTGGTTTGTCATGATAAAGCACATCAAATGTAATACAGGGTTAGTCCCCAGGGGTCACCCCCACCCCCTGCCATTTAAGAAAGTTCTAATATCTTCTAAGTGGTCAAGATCCCCACCCCTAAACCATATATATTCTGGTTTGTCATGCTAAGATGGTTTGAATGATATACAGGGTTAGTCCCCAGGGGTCATCCCGACCCCCTGCCATTTGAGAAAGTTCAAATATCTTGTAAATGGTCGAGATCCCCACCCCTAAACCATATATATTCTGGTTTGTCATGATAAAGCACATCAAATGAAATACAGGGTTAGTCCCCAGGGGTCACCCCACCCCCTGCCATTTAAGAAAGTTCTAATACCTTGTAAGTGGTCAAGATCCCCACCCCTAAACCATATATATTCTGGTTTGTCATGCTGAGATGGTTTGAATGATATACAGGGTTAGTCCCCAGGGGTCATCCCGACCCCCTGCCATTTGAGAAAGTTCTAATATCTTGTAAATGGTTGAGATCCCCACCCCTAAACCATATATATTCTGGTTTGTCATGATAAAGCACATCAAATGAAATACAGGGTTAGTCCCCAGGGGTCACCCCCACCTCCTGCCATTAAAGAAAGTTCTAATATCTTCTAAGTGGTCAAGATCCCCATCCATAAACCATATATATTCTGGTTTGTCATGCTAAGATGGTTTGAATGATATACAGGGTTAGTCCCCAGGGGTCATCCCGCCCCCCTGCCATTTGAGAAAGTTCTAATATCTTGTAAATGGTTGAGATCCCCACCCCTAAACCATATATATTCTGGTTTGTCATGATAAAGCACATCAAATGAAATACAGGGTTAGTCCCCAGGGGTCATCCTGACCCCCTGCCATTTGAGAAAGTTCTAATATCTTGTAAATGGTCGAGATCCCCACCCCTAAACCATATATATTCCTATTTGTCATGTCTCGAACATTTGAATGACGTATACGGTCAGTCCCCAGGGGTTCCCCCCACCCCCAATGTTCTTATATCTTGTAAATGGTTGAGATCCCCACCCCTAAACCATATATATTCCTGTTCCTCATGTAATGAACATTTGAATGACGTATAGGGCCAGTCCCCAGGGGTTCCTCCCCACCCCCAATGTTCTAGTATCTTGTAAATGGTCGAGATCCCCACCCCTAAACCATATATATTCTGGTTTGTCATGCCAAGATGATTTGAATGATATACAAGGTTAGTCCCCAGGCATCACTAATGCATATAACTTTACTGGACCAAACCAATTTTCACTGGATGTGGCCCAATGTCAGGCGACCCTGGGAATTACGAATTATGGGAGCTTCGTTTGGGAGACTTCGTAACAGCATCCTGTTACAATCATTTCTTGTTTTATTAAAGTCTCACACATTTGGAGTTCATCTTGCAGATCCAACCTTTGAATGAATGAAAGATGGGAAAGATAGTTGATCAAACTGATATAACTTGAGAAGAAAATCAGACAGACTAAGGGATCAAAACACACCATCAAAGTCAACATCGACTATAACTTTGATGAGCAGAAAATTGAGAAAAACTCTGAAAGAAGATCCACCTAAAGGACACACTAGACAAATATAAGCAAAGAAAGAACAAAGAAAACAAAACAATGTAAAACTTAATTACAAAGACTTAACCTGAATACAAAAACACAGATTGAGAAAATGAAAAAAACAAAACAAAGAGATTGGCAACAGAGAAGAAGAAAATTGACACAAGCCAAAAAAGTTGCAAACCCACAGAAAAATGTCCAGTCGAGAAGCAAAAGTACAGGTGCAGATACACTATCTAGAGAAATCAGAAAGAGAAGACAAAGTATAGGGAATATTCTTCCTGACCAACCCAAACCTTGCCCTAAAACAATTGAATACATCATATCCACAGCTAAACCAAGGCAGTTGTAAGAACTAATCAGTACTGATGGAAGTGTGCTAGAAATTGATGGGTGCCGAAGTGGAAACAAAATTGAGAGACCCTTAATAGATCTGGAAACTGTTGAAAAGAAACTGGCATTTTCAAAAAGAATAGAGGCTACCTGAAAATGTTTGAACTTAGGGGCTCTTTGAAAATGCCATTTTCTTTTCAACAGTTTTCAGATCTTTTAGGGGTTCCTCAACTTTGTTTATACTTCAACATGTTCAAGGCTCATCAATTTCTTGCACACAGCTGATATCAGTTCTCATATCCTCTGACAACCACCTTGGTGTAGCTGTGGATATGATGTGCTCAATTGTTTAAGCCCAAGATTTGGGATGATCAGGAAGATAATGTCTTATTCTTTGACTTCTCTTTCTGATTTCTCTAGGTATTGTATATGCATCTGTACTTTTGCTTCTTGACTGGACAATTTTCTGCTGGTTTGCAACTTTTTTTAGCTTGTGTCAATTTTCTTCTTCTCTTCTGTTGCCACTTTCTCTGTTTTGTTTTCATTTTCTCATATGTGTTTTAATTCTGGTCTAAGTCTTTTGAATTTAGTTTTACATTGTTTTGTTTTCTTTGTTCTTTCTTTGTTTATATTTGTCTAGTTTGTCCTTCAGATTTGGATCTTATTTCAGTGTTTTTCTCAATTTTCTACTCCTCAACGTTGAAGTTGTTGTTGACTATGATGGTGTGTTTGTATGCACTTAGCCTGTCTGATTTTATTCTAAATTATAGTTTCACAACCATCTTTCCCATCTTTCATTCATTCAATGGTTGGGTCTTAAATATGAACTCAAAATGTGCAAAACGGCTTGTTATGGATAATTCATGTCAGGAGTGCAACAAAATTAATTGTTTGTTATAACAATTATAATAATTTAATTAGTATTACATGAAACCATTATAAAACTTTTAAATTGAAATATGGTTATTTCCTTATCAAAAGACAAAGTTTAAGACAATTAGCTTCCATAATTTGAAAATAATATGAAAATTTAACATTCAAATATTTTTGCTTGTGACAAACAATAATTCTTGGATCAAAGACCAGCTTTGAAATTTACCTTTAAGAATTTATTATAACTCATACATGTAACCTAAATAGTTAGAAAACATGTTTAGATGCAAATAGGTCACTAGGAGCTGAGATTATCTTAAAATGTAAGTCCAAGAAAATGTCATTTTAAAACTGTTGCACTCCTGACATCAAAAAAATGGTTCTAAAAGAAAAATTCCTTGTCTATCAGGCTACTCTTTGGGTGCAATCTTGTATCTAGTATAGTATCTTTTGAAAAATAAAACAAAACCATATAATGGCTTTTGTATTTTTTCAGTGTGAGTCTTTAAACTTCAAAGTTGCACTCCTGACACTTATTGGGAGGCCTTATATACTTGACTCTCACACATTATTTATATCAATAATCAGGTAAATGAACTATTTATTCTGGAAAGGACATATTTGTTTTACAGGATTGACTTTTGTTTATGTTTTGGTTTGAGTCATTTAAGCAAAAATCATTCTATTTCTCAGTAATACTAATTTTTGTGTTGCACTCCTGACATGGCACAACTTTTTTTCAAAACACATCTGTATCAAAACGGTTCAATGGAAAACCTTCATTCTGAGCTGAAACCATCACTAAGATATAATAGTTGTAATATAAATAAGAATTTAAGGCACATTCCTCCTTACAACAATTTGCTGTGTCTTAATAAAAAAGGTATTTTTTCAAAATGTCACAAAAAAGTGTTGCACTCCTGACAATTTTGGCATCTTTTTTTAACGTCATTTTTTTAATACTTTAGATTTTCCAAAGATGTTTTGCAGGAATATTCTTCACATCAAGCCACATCATTTGAAATTAATTTATTCAATCAAATGATCAGCATGTTTGATAAATATTGCTTTATATGCAAGGAACCATTTATTTTGACTTTGCCCAACTGTAAATGATACTTGCAACCATTGACTAAATAAAGGTATTTGAAAAGACACATAAAACTGCTGACCGTAGAGAACACTTGAAACTGTTGACTGTAAATACACTTAAAACCACTGACTGTGTGTTTGACATCATTGACTCTTAATCACATTTCAAATTGCTCAAAGCCCCTTGAAACCACTGACTATAGAGGTCTTTATGAACAGTTAGTTTGGCCACAGATTTTAAAGATATTTGAAGCCGGTGAAAAAGTGATTATCTTAAACCTTACATTTTATGCTACAACATTTTGGCCCCTGAAGCACATTGAAGGAGAGGTTATCTGATTTATTTTATTGTATAAGTTTTCGTGCTTATTACAATTTTAGGTGCTGAAAATCTGATTGGTAAGGTTTGTTCACAGGTGAAAGTTCAACAAAAATAACAGTGTTGTCACATCATTTAAAGTTCATATTTTTATATAGGAATATACATCAATCATATAAATCTGAAGCATGAAAAACCATCAGATCATAAAGATTCTTATTGCATTACATAATCATCTTTTTCATATCATTTTATATAATACTATGTCATATCGTTTTATATAACACTATGTGATATTTCTTTTTCTTATCTTCCAGAGTATTTATAAAAAGTATTTTTCTTATATCATGTTTATATAAACTAAATGTGATATGTATTATTTTCCCCTCCCTGCATTGAATTGTTAACCATCTTATTTTTTCTTGATACTTGGTATGTGTTTTTTTCCATTCTAAGTACATGTTTTCTCTCCATTCTAAGTACATGTTTTCTCTCCATACTAAGAATTATTCTCTCCGTACTCAGTATTCTCTCCTTTCTCAGTATGTGTTTTTCTCCATTCTCATTATGTGTATTTTCTCAGTATGTGTATTTCTCCATTCTCATTATGTGTATATTCTTTATACTCAGTATGTGTATTTCTCCATTCTCATTATGTGTATATTCTTTATACTCAGTATGTGTATTTCACCATTCTCAGTATGTGTATTTCTCCATTCTCAGTATGTATTTCTCCCTTTTCAGTATGTGTTTTTCTCCATTCTTAGTATGTGTATTTTTCCATTCTCAGTATGTGTTTTTCTCTATTCTCAATATGTGTTTTTCTCCATTCTCAGTATGTGTTTTTTCTTCATACTCAGTATGTGTTTTTCTCTATTTGCTGTGTTTTTCTTTTTACTTATGATCGTCCTGAATATGCATGAAATGTTTGTTACTGGATCTTTAATGAGCAACAATCAATCAGTTACTCAGTAAGATACCATAGGAATTAGATATGGATAAACCCTGCTTTCTTAAAAATCTTTTGGTCTAATTTTTAACTTTTAAATTCAATTCCTGTTAACGTCAAGTGGGGAGGGCAACTGTATACTAGATGGATTGTATGGTAAAATCTTAAGGTATCCTTTCTGTAAAACTGCCCAACTTACAATAGAGTTATGTATAAAATGTTTAGAACTACTGCAGTCTATGAATAGATCAATATTATGTCTGTTTGTTTGAAGTTCTCATGAAATTGGTCTTTCTTTTAAGAGATGCCTTTAGTCATTTCTTATCACTAGGATCAAATTGATTTATCAAAGTCATCAAGCTTTCCGTTTCTTTCATTTTCATTATCTTTCTCAAAATGTGATTTCCGTTTTGTCTATCTGATCTTATCACAATATCCTGAATATGAAAATTAAAAGAGAATTTATAATTTCTTTATGATAATATACATTATTCCATTTATCATCCTTGTGCTGAATATGCATGAAATATTTGCCACTGGACATTAAGCACACAACATTTAATCATTCATTTATCATCCAGGAGGACAACTCTTGTATACTTTCTTTAAAGATTATTTCATTTATCATTTAGGAACACAGGTCTTGTATGATTTCTTCAAAGAATATTCTACTTCTCATCCAGAAACACTGCTTTACACATCATGCATGGAACAAACACTTAGTTTTTTAGTGAACACAAATCAAACATTGCAAGTTTGTGTGTAAGCATGTGTTCATGAGTTTTTGGCTTGGTGAACACACAGTTTTGGTGAAGTGTTCATGAGTTTGTTGCTTGGTGAACACACAGTTTTCTTGAAGTGTTCATTAGTGTTATTACTTGGTAAACACACAGTTTTGGTGAAGTGTTCCTGAGTTGTTGCTTGGTAAACACACATTTTTGGTGACATGTTCATGAGCTTGTTTGCTTAGTGAACACAGTTTTGGGAATTGTTCATTAGTTTTGTTGCTTGGTAAACACAATTTTGTTGAAATGTTTATGCGTTTGTTGCTTGGTGAACACAGTTTTTGTGAAGTGTTCATGAGTTTTTTGCTTGGTGAAGTGGTCATTAGTTTTGTTGGGTGGTGAACACACAATTTTTGTGAAGTGTTTATGAGTGTGTTGGGTGGTGAACACACAATTTTTGTGAAGTGTTTATGAGTGTGTTGGGTGGTGAACACACAATTTTTGTGAAGTGTTTATGAGTGTGTTGGGTGGTGAGCACACAATTTTTGTGAAGTGTTTATGAGTGTGTTGGGTGGTGAACACACAGTTTTGATGAAAAAATAAATTGTTTTGTTGGCTATTGATTTGTTGTTAATATTTGACACTATCACAATTCTTGGAAATCTGTTCTGATTTATAATTGCAAAAGTGAGATTGGATGCACAACACATTAATTCAATTCTAAAGCTTCATTTGATTGCAGCTGTTCTAGAAACCACATGCAATCTAACATTTTAGCTGAACAATTGCAATAATATTTAAAAATCACCACTCACAACTGACCACTCATGAACTAAGTGTAACTAAGTTTGTCATCTGTACCCTGAATACAACACTGTTATGCTGTTTTTAATGGTGTTATTAGATGTCATTGAAGCAGATAAAAACATTATCTTGGTAAAAAAAAATGTTAGTTTACAGGGAAACCTTTTCAAAGCAGTCTTTATTACACAGGTTACTGATGAAAACTTATTAACTGAATGTTCTGATTCAGTTAAGACAGGAATCCAGTTTTTTTTTTCTAGGTCTGTTAAGGCAGCAGGTTTTACTGTTATTGAATATATGTTCTTGTACAAATTTTATATTTATTTTTTAACAAGAAGTGAAAATCTTGAATTGAATTATTTATTTGAGATAAATTTACATACATATTGCTAAGTATATTTTTTGTGTCTTCTATTTTGTTGCTACATTTTACACAACAAATTACTTCACACTCCACTGGTGTGAGTCCTTATAAATTTTATGTATTACAGCTTTTTTGTAAATAACAATTCATAATACACATTTTTGTGGTAAAAGCAAATATTTCAAGGTCAGAGCAATATTCCATTCAAAGCAAGTATCATATTGCTAGAAAAAAGTTCATTTATGGTCAGATATATGTAAATTTGTTCACTGAATTGGATTAACAGTTAAAGGGAAACAACTCAAAATGTACTGGCTATAACAAAAGTTTGCAGAACTCAAACTAAACTGATTTAACAACCAGAGCATTCTTAAAGTTTATAGGAACTTCCGTCTTTTAATTAGTCATTTCCCTCTGCCTTTATTTCTCTTTTACGATTTGTCTCTCACTCTCAAGGAAATTGAAGATTTGTTTGCAGTATATGAAACTGAGATTTCAAATGTGTTTGATTAATAATCCATTTTTTCATTGAAAAGGATATAATTAAACCCCATCTAAAATAAATTAAAAAAAAACATTCTTAAACTCTCATTTTAATTGTTTTCAGCTGATAACGAAAGTGATAGTGGCTATGATCCTTCACTACTGTCCAGTAAACAATATGGATCCCTGCAGTCACTGGACAGATTGCACCAACAAGTAGAGGGTCACAGCAGGGAAAGTGACACAGAAGGTAAGACCTAAACTTATATACAATTTAAAGTACTGTAAATTCAGAAATTATGGCAAGATTTTTATCAATGCAAATAATGCAAATCAGCGAGTATCGCAATAACAAGAATACGCATTATGATATCCCAGACATATCTGTATGCAGGTATTCCTGAAATCACAATACTAATCTCACTTTTTTGTCCTCTCTTAAATTGCAATAATAAATGGACTCAATAATTTCTGAATTAACTTTATGTGAAAATTCCTTCCATTCTCAAGACAGTTATCCTCAAGAGGGCCTCAGCAGGGAAAGTGATATAGAAGGTAAGACCTAAACTTATTGACACTTTAGATTATGTGAAAGTTCCTCAAATTCCCTTGACAGTTGTCCCCGAGACTGCCCCAGCAGGGAAATAGACACAGTTTGTAAGACTTTAACACTTTAGATTATGTGAAAGTTCCTCAAATTCCCTCGACAGTTGTCCCCGAGACTGTCCTAGCAGGGAAAGTGACATAGAGGTAAGACCTAAACTTATTGACACTTTGAAGTAGGGATGTCAACGAGTACTCAAGTATCGCTCGGTAGTACCGAGTATTGAATACCAAAATGATACTCTATTATTCGTTTTCCTGTTAGAATGTGTTGCATTCTTAAAGAAATAATATTTTTATTAGGAGCGCCTCCCTGGAAATTATATATCAATCAAAATCAATCAAAATTGAAATATGTTTCGAATGTTTGAGTTCATTGTCATTTAAAATTCCTCCGAGCATATGTAGGCTATGAACAAGTGCACCTTTCCAATGCTAACACTTTTGGCTAATCTTGTCTTAGTCATTCCACTACCTCTGTATCGACAGAGCAAATATTTTCATTAGCAGAACTGTGAATTATGTAACAAAGTTGAGATATCAATTCGTTGCACCCTGCGTCAACCCTCAGAAAATGGTTAAAGGCATTAGTAAGTTTTAATCAGCACCCCTTTGTTGATCATTAAATGTGTTTTTTAAGATTTCCAAATACTATTGTTTGAGTAATCATTTTTCTATAGATGTTTATATTATTAATTAATTGATTAGATCATTGCCAGTTTACATAATTAGTACATGTGGTAAATGAGCTACTAATTATGGTATAAAATTCCTTGAACTATTATATATCGGGTTTGGGTAATCATGTTGAGGGTTTTACATCCATAAGACAACGTCCCACAATACGTGAAATGGGTATAATTTTGTGTTTCCATTTTGTGGATGTTTTTCCGAGCGAGTATTCGATTATCGCTCAGTAAATCCAACGAGTACTCGATTAGTAAATCTTCTCCGAGTTGACATCCCTACTTTGAAGTATGTAAAAATTCCTTCCATTCCCATGATAGTTGTCCCCAAGAGGGCCTCAGTTGGTAAAGTATTGTAGTATATGTTACCTTTGAAATGGTGAGAAAAAGTCCTCGGCTAATCGTCCCTAACAGGAATCCAAATTCAAGGAAATGAAAAAGAAACTATGCCATACTGTTAACCAACTATTTTTGCGAGCGATTTATTTTTGCAAGTAAATGTTAAACTTCACTCTTCTCTGATATAAATAAATATTTAAATTAAAACATCATGAAAATAAATTGCTGTGAAGTCCAGAAGAATGTGCTAAACGTGAAATAAAGTATTTGTGAAAATAAGTTGTTTACAGTAGGCAAGAATATCTGAACTGTGTACCAAATTAAAGAGGAAGATGTTCTTAATTGTTATAGTACATTTCACATTTAAGAACTATGGATCCTTTCAGACAGACTTTCTTGACAGCACTATTATTAACAGGTGATTATTAAATGGCCATTGTATTGACAGAGATACAATGTATTATGTCATACTGCTAATTAGTTAATGGACCAGTTTTCATCATCATTTAGAATCCTTCAAAAGGAAGAAGATACAGTAATTGATTTAAACAAAAGTACAAATAACCTCTAAACAATAAACCTTAATTGATTTATACAAAAGTACAAATAACCTCTAAACAATAATTATTTAGCTAATCTTTAAAATACAGTAATCTAATAGCAACATAAATGGTTTGAAAGCCGAATGTGATAAAAAAAAATCTCTATTATGCTGATTATTGCACCAAGCCATGATTTTTTTAAATTACCCAAAAGGCAACTGTCCGATATAATAGAAGTTTACAGTAGTTAGGTCTACTAATAATTTGTATTTTCAGATCAAAAAAATGTTTTGTGCTTTTACAAGCCTTTTTGCATGCTATATCATGTCTCATTTCTTTGAGGGATGTGTTAGTGGCCTGTTGCATGCTATATCATGTCTCATTTCTTTGAGGGATGTGTAAGTGGCCTGTTGCAAGGCTAAATTTCTAAGAAAGCCTCATTTTCCACTTGCATTCCAAATTTCCAAACGTTCATCCTAGTCGACCCCATATGGCAGGATCTGCATATTGTATTTATTGTTTATTTGTTCTCATCCTTAATATGCATGAAATATTTGCCTCTGGACATTAAGCAAATAATAATCAACCTCATTGCTAGATTGTTTGCATCTAAAGTTCCTATCAAAGTATTAAAAAGTCTCCAGTGGTTCGACGCTGCCAGAGTTTTAGAGATCATACACATGAATTAAGCATATTTCATTAGCACATGTTTTAAGGGTCAGAGAATTTCTAGTACTTGAGAAAAGAAATTATGTTTGATATATTTATCAACACAGTTGAATTTGATGTATAATGGGAGATAACTCTAAATAAACTTGTTGAAATGTATTATTATGGGAGATAACTCTATTGTTCCTAGGATGAACAATCTTTTCTATGTAACTCCTTCCAAAAGAGAACACAAGAAAAAAATAATTTTATTTGTATTTGTATATTTTTTCCTGAAATATATGCACACTGACAGTAACTGTTGGAATATATTAAAGGTTCAGCTTTCCTACTTCATGTACAAGATGAGTCCAATTAGTATATTTTTCATTAATGGCAATTTTGAGGAAATATTTTCAACTTTGAAAACAAAATATGTATCACAGGAAAATCAAGACAAAAATCTGTCACAAAAATAAAGTGTATGTTTTAAGGTTAAAGGTCAAAGTGTTTGAACTCCAAAGTGTTTTCTTTAAATTTTCTTGCTGAATGATTGAAAAATTAAGAAAACATTTGCACCTTTTAGGTTGTTATTCTGTAAATTATTTGAAAGTTTCAGCCTATTTATAATTAAATTATCACCTGTCACCTGAGGTGTTAAGATTGACACTTACTTATAATGTCACGTTACAGGTTATACTTGTATTATATCACCTGAACCAAATAAGCATACTGAAACTTATGTAATTGTATGTACACATTTAATTGTCTGTAAACATTTGATTGCCTACAGGGAAGTGTCTTTGATGTTAAGTAATTTCATTGGGATTTTACTTTAAAGTTTTATTAGATTAGTTTTTACATTTTTTCAATTTACAAACATAAACAAGGCTTACAGTATGGGTTTTTCTCATTGTTGAAGGCTGTACAGTTGCCTGTTATTGCTTACATCCACTTCATTTGAACATTGGTGGATAGTTGTCTCATTTGGCAATCATACCGCATCTCCTTATTTTTATATTAAAATTGGGGGAAAAAGAATGAGAAGATAATAAGGAAGCAAAAAAAAAACATATGTAGAATATTAAACAGAATGGACAATGTAAAAAAAACTGAAAAAAAACAAACAACAGTTTACTAAACACTACACTGCAAATTGAATATTAAGCAGTAAACTCTGGTAAATACTATTATATAAATAAATTAAGATATCAAATATCAAAAGGTTAGATGTATGTTTTCTTCTTTATGTTTTGTTTTATTGTGTGTCTTATTCACAGAGTTATTTCCCTCTGACACATTTGTCGACGTTACAAAATTTGACAAACAAAACAATCTAAAACCTTTTATATCCCGGCTCTGAAGAATGGGTGGTCTGGATACTGGTTTACCTCTGTTCAACCCATGAAGTTTTCCTCCCATTTTTCCTTGGAACTTAAAATTAGAGCTTTTCTAAAATTTGGTATTACCGGTAACCTTCATGTGAGCTGATGCTATACAGTGTGATCACATCAATTGCTCATCATCTTCCTGTTTATAGAATACTTAAAGCTGGGAAATCATTAGTTAGCAAAAGCTCACAGTACATCTTGTTTATATTGGACATGCTGAATCATTCTCTTGAATTTCAGTAAAGACATGGATGATCTTTGAAAATAAAGATCAGATAAACTCTCACATTTTGGTAAAAAAAATAGTTTTAAATCCGTTGTAGAGTACGATGAAATCATTAAGCCTGCCCTTCTTTGAGGGGCGTAAAGGGGGGGTATCTGCACGGAAGAACACGAAATAAAATTGCCATTTCACGATGAACTAACAGTTCAAAATTTCTTGCACGTTGATCTTTTTACCGATTTCACGATTTCACGAAACACGGTGAATAACGAACCTTTTTCACGGCTGCATGTGAAATAAAAATGGCAAAACACGTTGCACGAAAATAACCCTTTACCACCCTCTTCTTTAAGGACATATATACAAATCAAACTAGTTATCATACAAGTGAACTTCATTCATACAAACTTCTTAATTGAATATACTCTAGAAATACTCAAGTTATGCCTTTCTTTTACCCTACAACTGCATTTTTTGTTTTCATATTTTTGGACCTCTCAACACGTAGCTTTTACAGAGTTATTTCTCTACAGGTACACCAAACATACAAAAAAAAAATTGTAATCTCACCACATTTCTTCACTGATAATCTTAATTCTTTTTTTCCTCTGACTTAACCTTATCATGTGTATGAATAGACTACCCACTGATCACTTACACACATGCAATCACTACCGATTACATAATTATTCTTTGGAACAATACATTTGGCCTTCACAGATACTCGCACCTTATTACCTGAGCTATGATATGACAGATACAATAGGAACTGGGTTCCCAATTACCATTCAAAACAATTGTTGTTGGTAATCTTATAC